CATTAATATGCTAGTGCTAGCTAGATAGCATGACATGTTATTAATAAACGGGCCAGATTCAGACACACTCAACATGTCTTTAGGAATTTTCTAGTTAGATTTATAACGTTAATTGACTAGAAGACATTGGATAGTCATTTTAAATAATGGTTTAGATGTCTCTCTGATGCAGTTTATTAACTATTAACCCAACATCAAACTGAGTATTACCTTTCTCGCCTGAAACAATTAAAAACTTACAAATCAGTGTGGATGGTTGATGGCTGCACACATTCATTCATTCATTCATTCATTGTTTCTTTTTATATGCCCACTTCCAGCTATTGTATGACATTAAAAACCATCATTTTCTCTAGTTATATTGATTATTACTCCCACACAGACCTGCAGATCTGCTGTGAACTATAGTTCCTCAGCCATTAGTCATCATCTGTCTCAGAGCTAGTTACACGAGAACTGACCCTCCTCTTTCTTTTTTTTAACAACCTCACGTACATGTTTTCAAATACCGCACTGTTGTTACATCATATTTAATCAGCGAAGTGATTCAACAATGTGAAATACGAGCTAACGTTAACTCACCGTAAAGAATCAACTAACGTTAACGCTGGCTAACCTAACGTAACGTTACCGTAGCGACGGATGGAACAAACCGCCGGTAACCAAGGTGCTACCGTTAACTCCCTACCGAAGCCCGGGAACAGTTATGCTTTATCACTTTGAGTGCACCACTTACTGTCTGTGATGAAGACATTTCTCTTCTTTAACTCCGAAAGTCGAGCAGCAAAGTTTGGCAGCGACCGGAAGTGTTCATCAACGGTTACGGTGCGCTTTCGTTTTACATCCGGCGTAGAACGGAACTCGACCGGCTGGGCGGAGTCAGCGCTAGACATTACAACTGTGTTACACTGACTCCGCCTGAGAGGCCCGGTGTGATTTAACAAGCGCAACCTCAAAGAGACTTTCCCCGACCCGGACTTCTTCTTCTCAAGGCATTATGGGTAACTGAGTTTTTTGTAGCAGGTCAGCGTCAGAACCAATTAGAGATTATTTTTAGTTTTTATCTGAATCATTTTATCATCAAAATGAACAACAAAGGCTCCTGGTAGCGGACAGAAATACTTACAGTACAGTGGTGACAGATTCCAGATGTTTTCAGGAGGGAAGCAGAAAATGGGACTTTTCCCAACTCCAAGCTTTATTTTATAAATACATATTATAAATATAATCCCGTCATGTTTCAGGTGTCTATGTTTCATTTGAATATACTGCTCAAGGCCTGAAGAGGTACAATTATATTTCACAGAAAAGCAAAGATTAAATAAAAGTGCAAACAAATGAAAACCAAATAGATATTTATGTAGCAGAGCTTTATTTTTTAATTCTTTTATAATCACATCACGCCCTCTCAGCTTTATCTTGTGAGGGGGGCCGAACCTTAGATTGGGAAACACTGGAGTAAAAAACTACTTTTACTGCAGAACTTCCTACTTTTACTTTTGACACTTTTAGTACAATTTAGTGATGAATATGTAGCGGAAAGTGACGGATCTGAATACTTGTTTCACCATCATTTATTACCTCAATCTGCAGTGACAGAGTACCACCCTCTCTCTCTCTCTCTCTCTCTCTCTCTCTGTCATGCACACATAGATGTGTCAGTCCTAAGAGGATTATGGCAAAGGGGAACACAAAGCAATTACTGTCACTTATCATAATCATACCTCTGTGTCTCCCTCTGTATACAAATATGCACATATGCCCACACACACATTCACATTCACAATACTGCGACAGCTTACACACTGGGCCTCAGTGACCAACAAGTGGAGATACTGTTAGGATGCAGGAATATGATATCATTGTCCTCGGAACTGGACTCAAGGTAAGAACACTTGTGTTTGTTGTAAAATATGAAGTGTACTGTCTATGAGGCACCTGAGGGAAATTACAAGCGTCTGTCAGCTCCCAGTACGTGGAAGGTCCACTCTCACTGTAAGAGCACTGCGATTTTTATTGAACAAAAATTTAATTACTGCTATGACTATAGTTAAGCATGCTTTTAGTTGTTCCCTGAACTATTCTTACCCTTTAATAGTTTATAGTATAAGCGGTGTACGTTGGTCTGTATGGTCACACTTTTACGGACCATTCACATAAAGACCTTCTGAGCTCCTCTTGGCTGATTAAGGGATTTACAACAATTAGATGACATCAGTAGGTAAGTTTTGATCCTTGTCCTGACAGTGCACTTTACTGTCAACCTCCCGTCTGTCGCAGGAATGTATCCTGTCTGGTTTAATGTCTCAAAGTGGGAAAAAGGTTCTTCACATTGACAAGAATCCCTACTATGGAGGAGAGAGTGCATCCATCTCTCCCCTTGAGCAGGTGCGGTCACACAGTCACAAACAACACACGAGCACACACACATGCGTGTTCTCCATTTTGCAAAGCTGCTATTGTTAAAAATCTTTCTACATTTACAGCTGTACAAGAAGTTTAAGGTTCCAGGTCCTGCTAAGACCATGGGTCGGGGAAAAGAGTGGAACATTGACCTTATCCCCAAATTCTTTATGGCCAACGGTAAAAAAAACTTGTGCTATTCGTCTGGACTTCTGGTCTGTGCAATGCATTTTCTTGGCTTTACTTTCATGTGCATTAAGTCATTGTCTGCACTCTCTGTTCGCATTAGGTGAGCTGGTGAAGATCTTGGTGCACACTGAGGTTACTCGGTATCTGGACTTCAAAGTCGTTGAAGGCAGTTACGTATACAAAGCAGGCAAAGTGCACAAAGTCCCTGGCACAGAGGAAGAAGCCCAGGCTTCAGGTGATGAATTAAGTTGCTGAAACTGTGCAAAATATCTCCATATTTGTAACTCCATTTAATAATGTTCAACAAAACATTTATGTTTCAGATCTGATGGGCATGTTTGACAAGAGGAGGTTCAGGAAGCTGCTGCTGTTTGCCCTGAACTTTGACGTGAGAAACCCTCGGACCTATCAGGACATGGATCCGAACAAAACCACCACGCGGGACCTGTTCTGCCGCTTTGACCTGGGACTAGATGTCATGGAGTTCACAGGTCACGCCATAGCCTTACACAGCAGTGACAGGTCAGTCACAGGAACTTACATAACAAGATAACAAACAATGACAGATGATCCTGGTCAAGTCTAAAACCTGCCTGGTGTCATTTACTGTCTCTTGGTGATCCTATAGTTACCTGGACCAGCCGTGTTTGGAAACAATCAGACGGATCAAGCTGTACTCTGAGTCTCTGTCCCGCCACAACCCCAGTCCATATATCTACCCTGTTTATGGGCTCGGAGAACTTCCACAGGGATTTGCCAGGTTACAAAACAACTCCTCAGATTTCTCAGGACAAGGTCCTGTTTGTCTTCTTGTTACATTCAGTGCAGCTTCTGTGTTTCAGGCTGAGTGCAGAGTACGGAGGAACCTTCCTGTTGAACAGAGCAGTGGATGAGATTGTGATGGATAATGGCAAAGTGAAGGCCGTGAAATCTGAAGGGAAGGCAAGTGTATTCAAACAGAGGAAGGATTGAAAAAGAAAAAAGTTGGAATGTTTGGGGGAAAAATGTCCAGCAGCGCAGTTGTGAGCTCAGTGATTTTGTCTTTCTATCTCCTGAACAGCTGTTCCACTGTAAACAACTCATCTGCGACCCCAGCTACGTTCCCAATCGCGTGAGAAAAGTGGGGCGTGTGATAAGAGTCATCTGTTTATTAAATCATCCAGTTAAACACACCCATGATGCCAACTCCTGTCAAATCATCCTCCCTCAAGCACAATTCAACAGGAAATCAGGTATTTTGTCTGTTGATCAAATAAATAATAAGTTTTATTTGTAGTGTTTAAATTAGATCACATTATTACCACATTGACACACGTCCACAGATTCCTTGTGAATAAATCATTTTGGTTGTCTCACACTGATTTATAATTCCTATTAAACCTCTTTTCTTCTGTGCATGCAGACATTTACATAACTGTAGTGTCCTATGCCCACAATGTGGCCTCAGACGGGGTGTACATCGCCACAGTGAGCACGACTGTAGAAACCAGCAACCCGGAGAAAGAAGTTCAACCGGGGCTGGAGCTTCTGGAGCCCATCATGCAAAAGTCAGTAAGACTTTTTTTTTTAAAAAACAGAACAAAAATAACTAAACAAAAACGAAACAAAACAAATATGAGAGCAACATAGGATACGTGGATATATAATGTTGGGGGGCAATAACAGAAAAAACAACTGTACAGTACAAAGGTTACATGAAGGTTATTCACAGTCAAGACTTCTTTTTTTTTTTAAAGTAGAAAATAAAAGTTAAATAATTACAGTCAGGTCAGAGTTTCACTTCCTCCTATATATGGTTCAGTATCAGACTCCCACATACTCAAAAAAGGGAAGCCAGGTTTTATTATATCTTTTATCCATTAAAAGTGTATCTCAACCTCTCCATTTGGAGGAACATCATGACTTCCTTGATCCATAACATAAACTGGGGGGCTGATATAAAGTGATTCTATATTCTGTCGATGGAGCACCAAATATCACTATGTATTGGTTGGGATTTATTGTTTTGTCACAGATATATCAATGTGCTTGAAATATAAAGGTCCGGAAATTATTTAATGAATTAAATGACCAGAACATATGACCTGCTGGATCATCCAGGACAGCTAGAGTCAGCGGTCGAGAACATTTTGGAAAGGCTTTAGTAAAAATCAGTGAGACTTTTTACATTTTACTGGTTTTATAATTTGAAACAAGATTTAATTGATAGTTGTTTCCTGTCATAACCTTGAATCTAGATTTGTTTCAGTCCACAACCTGCTGGTTCCCAATGAAGACGGAAAAAGGAGTCAGGTAATGAGATCCCTCCACAAGATGATCTGTACACAAAAATAAAATGGGGTAAAGTGTGTGAGTATATTTTATCCTCTCTGTCCTCACTAGATCTTTGTGTCCCGCTCGTATGACTCAACAAACCACTTTGAGATCGAGTGTGAGGACATCAAAGATATGTACCGCCGGATCACAGGAGCAGAGCTCCGCTTTGGAGGATCACAGAGACACCAGTCTCACAACTCTGATGATGACTGAGGCGGACTTACCCAACAGCTGGGAGGTCATAATGACATCATGGATGATTTTACTGCACAGCTGTAAACCAGAGAGTGATATGTAGCGTCTAGAGAGTGGGCGTACTATTTAAATGTTGTGTATCTTCTATTTCCTCTAATTTGTGTGCTATAATTTCTCCCTTTTGTGAAATTCTGTATTACTAACAGTTCAGGAAAACATCTTCTTCTTGTGTTGACCCCTTTAAGTTCCTTTGTTCTGCATTTGCAATGTTTTGGTATAAGAAAAGTAATACTCTGTAACCATTAATACAACTTTTTTTGCTACACAGATCTTAGGTTTTATTGATTTGTTCACTTTTTAAAGACACATTCACAGAAACTGACAGAAATTATGGCTAAATTATTACTTTATCTTGTCAGTGTGATTAACTGAATGTATCATATCTACATAAGAACAAAGGTGACCTAAATGTCCTCCTCTACGCACCAACCAGTGCCACAATGTGCTGATTTAAACAATCAGACTAACGCTGGACTCACAGAGGCAGGTGATTAGAGATGAATCACTGTGATGTGCAGAGGATTTATGGATTCTCAATCTATGGAGCTTATGCGTGAGAAGGACAAAGCCACTGATTATGTCATGTGCAGGACGGACAGGCACACCCAGTTAAGAGGCTTAACCAAATGAGGGACAATCACTACCAACACCTCGGGTGTAGCGCTGGAACATATTCTTATATTTTTACATACAGGTCTCTTTTATCTTCTGCACAGACGTCTTTTGAAGGTTTAGTTTGTAACATTTAGGAGGTTAAATGTAGAAATATAATATAATATTAATAGGTATGTT